TAAAAATGGGCAAAGGATTTCTCCAAGGAAGATTTAAAAATGGTTAATAGATATATAAAAGGATGCTCAATATCGTTAGTCCTTAGGGAAATGCAAATCAAAACCACAATGTGATACGACTCACAGTCAGTGGAATGGCTACAATAAAAACAATGGACAGTAACAAGTGTTGATGAGGATGTGGAGGAACTGGAACTCATACATTGCTGTATAAATGTATAACAGTGCTGCTTCTATGTAGAATAGTTTGGCTATTTCTCAAAAATCTAAATATAGAGTTACCCTTTGATCCAGCAATTCTACACCTAGGTATGTAGCTGAGAAAACTACAAACATGTATTCACACAAAAACTTGTATTATGAATAATGGTTCTTAGCACCATTATTCACAATTGCCCCAAAGTGAAAACAATAGTGTCCATCAACTGATGAATAAACAAAATGTGATATGTCCATACAATGGGATATTATTCAGTCACAAAAAAGAATGAAGTACAGTACTGAGGCATGCTCCAATATGGGTGAACCTTGAAAACATTATGCTGAGTAAAAGACAAACACAAAAGGCCACCTGTTGTGTGACTCAGTTTATGTGAAATGTCCAGAATAGGCAAATCCCATGGAGAAAGAAAGTAGACTAGTTGTTAGGGGCCAGGGGAAGGGGGAGTGGGGAGTGACTGCTAGTAAGTAGGGGGTTTCTTTCTGGTGTCATGAAAATGTTCTGTAATTAGATAATGGTGATGGTTGCAAAACCTTGTGAACACACTGAAAAGTAATGAACTCTACATTTAAAAAGGATGAATTTTGTGATATATGAGTTACATCTCACTTAAAAAAATACAATGACTCAACCTAAATATCCATCAATAAGGGATGTTGAATAAACTATACCATAATATGGAAATATTGTGCAGATGATTCAAACAATGAGGTAGCTCTTCATGTACTGATATTGAAGGATGCCCATGACTTACTAGTAAATAAGAATAAGTTTCAGAAGCCAGAATAGCATGTGCAATATGATCCTGTTGGTAAACACACACACACACACACACATACACACACACACACATACGTAAAATAAAATGGATAGATAACACCCAACCAACAAGGGTGGGCTCCCTTTGGGTGGAATTGGATGGGAATCAATTCTCATTGATTCTTTTGTCTATTTGTCTATGTTTTTAACAACAAGACTGTACTCTTTTATTACTTGTTTAATTGAAAATAAATTTCAAAAAGGGGAAAAGAAATATAGTGAATTAAAAATGGCTTAAGTCATCTATAGCACTGAATATGTTCAATGTTTGTCTGCTGTTTGTGCTCAAACTATGTCATGGTGTAATAGCTTCCACTTGCACATTACTCTATAGCAAACAAAGCTTGGACATGTAAAAAAACAAAGAAACAAAAATCTCTCTCAACAAGAATATTCCAGACTCTATCATTGGTTGTTTCACCTCTTTTTCACTCTAAAGTGACACTTAACATTTCCCACCAGGAGCATTCTCAGATTGGTGCTTTCTTTAAAATGCTCTTGTCCACTTTAGTAGTTTAGGTGAACTTACATTTTTGTAGAGCCAATGACAGTTTGTGACTAGCTGACTATTAAAATAGTGTAACACATGAGAAAGGATTTTCCTCAGAAGAAGTTCTAGGATGAGACAGCAGGATGTTTTAGAGACAGAGTGGTGTTGATTTCAAGGTTTATTAAGACAATACAAAAGTAATTGTTCTGATGCATTAATGTTACCCCCAAATACAACTAAATAAATAAAAAATGCTTATTGTCACAAATCTTTAAGGCTCATTCTGTTACAGAACAGGAAGATGTTTCCCCATTCTAGAAATTGTGCTGTGTGGGTTTCATGTGATTTATAGACACAGCAAAATCTCCAAACAGTAAAACAAATGGTCAATGAGTCCATCATCTTTACGCATGTAAATTTAAGCTCAGACAAAATAAAAGTTCCCCCTAGACAAGTCCTTAATATCAGATATATCTACACTCCTTTCTAGTATCTTGCCAAAATTATTCACTATTGAATTATTCACGTTTTGAATGTGGAGTTTGATTTGCAATACGAGAAACAGAGCTGGTGGGAGCAACTTTTTTTCTTATATGATGGAGACAAAGAAAGGGGATTTAACCTTTTCACTTCCTTTTGCAGATCTGAGTAACCACAAAAGTGAAGCACTTTGGGCTCCAGGCATGCAGACAACTTAGAAGCAGCCTGGGAGACCAGAGCCTCTGTAAGATAAAGATGCCTGGGGTACTTGTGAGAATCCACTGGAATTTAACTGGGAAAAGTATTCATGAATTTTGAGAAGAAAAGCTGGAAGAAATGGCCTGTATAAAGCCACTGGATTTTATCAATTGCTTGGGTCAAGATTTTAAAAATATACTTAGAGAGAGACACAGATAAGAGCACACGGTTTCATTAGTTAGTAGTGCTTGCAAGGTTGCTGCCTAACAGACGAGTATGGACGACTACTTGGATTAAAAGAGTGGCTGTCGACACAGATTCTGGGCTTTCTCCATAACCACCTCCAAATGTTCTAACTAAAAGCCCAAAGTGAATTATCACACAGCAAAAAATGAACTTAAGCTATTTTAATACTGAACTAGACAAAAAATGACAATGGCATTGGACCTTATAAATACAGCACTTTAATCAATGCTACAACATGTACATTTTTACAGCATAAATTACTGAGTGGAACTGTCCTGTTTAAGACCCTCTTCAATTCTTGAAATGATCCCGAGGCCAAATCCTGGAAGAGGAGAGGATGAAGGCCCTATAGTTTGGTTTTGTGGCTACTAAAACTGGTTCACTGGAAAAGTCTGGCAGGAGATAAGCAAGTTCCCATGTGGCTGACAGCTTTCCCAAGAGAGAGATGCAGATTTTGAAATGGTGTTTGATGTGACAGGTTGTACTGGAATATTGAATTAGAGTTGCCAGCTCCATGAGTAAGCATCAAGAGGACACAGCGTAAGAACGGTGGTGCCAGGCCTGCTCCTGCTTCGACTGAGACAGACTGCGCGGGAGTAAGCGGCTCTACTGTGGCAGGAGTCTTTGTTCCCTGACATCCTGCCTGGGGAGAGATGGAATCAGAGCATCTAGGAAGTGTATCTACACCTCCTCATACTAATAAATTTCACGTTGCCCTGAATTCTTTACCAACATACCCAGAATTAATACTGGATATGGGATAGTGCTTGTGTGGTGCTATCACTTTGGGCTGAAATCAGGCTGGATCTTTTGGGACCTTTAGCTGTTGCTCTTTTGCACTGAAGAAAAGCTAGGAAAGGGGTTTTCCAGTGAACATAAAAAGAGGGGGTCCTTTTGAATGCATATTTTGGTTAATCTCATGATTATTTTGGTTAATCTCAAAGGACTGATTTAGACACACAAGGAAGCCCTGGGTCTAAACAATATAAATATTCAATAAAAGCTAAAAATTTCAATCCAGCATTTAGGGCCTTGACCTTGGTGATATCGAACATTTAGATTATTGGTCTGATTTCCTGTCTTTGTTGATTTTCTCTCTCAGTACACTAAGGTTTAGCCTGCAATTAAGCCATCATGTTGAGGCAACCACCTAATCCACTAGAGAAAAGAAGAAAATCTATCCAGTCTCTCGAGAGGTTGCCTGTTTCCTGAAGCTCATGACAAAGTCGTATCCCTTAGGACAGATCGCCTTTCTCAGGGACCAACCTCCCAGAACAGCTGTCCTCTATCTCCCCAAACAACAAAAAATTACCATCAGAGGTAGCAGATCCACAGGAAATGGGGCTGCTGGGGGCCTCTGGCACTAGGAGGGTGTCTGAAACGGGGTGTTCGAGAGGCAGGCTGTTTTCTCATTGGAGAAGGCCTACACCGGAAGCTTGGACCCAATATTCCTTCTTCCTCTTCCCTCTGGGTATCCCTGGCTTCTTAAGGCCCAGACTGAATGAGAAAGCAGAGGGTGAGACTGCACCACCCCCTGTGGGGAGTGGGCCAGCCTGCTGCTCCCTCTGCTCACTGGTCTCCTAGTGCTCTGCCTATGGGCGGGACAGTGTCACAGTGGTGAGCAAAGGCTGATGAGTCCCACAGAGATGCCTGTGGCTGCCTGGCTGTCATGCTCTTGGTCCTCTAGGACCTAGTCAGGGCTGGGACAAGGCACATCTCCCACATCACACACCTTTTTCTGTATCTTGGTGCATACTGATGGAGTGTATTTCCATTGCCTCTCTTCGGACAGTGATGTTTTGCTCCTGCTGGGTGTGATGACCGGGGATCACAGAATGTTTGCTCCTGTCTCCAATCACTGTTCTTCTAAGAAGTCAAGATACTAAAATCTGCCTTATAGAACTCAGAAGTGAAAAAATGCCAAAGCGAAAAAGTCAACCCAACTCACAGAGAAAGACATTTTGGTTCAAGTTGGTGGCCCTGGGAACTTCAGGGGATTAATGGTTTGCAAAGTGCTTAAAGGAAAGTGTGAATATTGCTAGTTCCCCACACAGGCCCCAGAGAGAGCTGATGATGCTAAGAAAGTGTTTATCATTCAGTGTGCTGTGTGCTTGGAATTTTTGACATCTCAATCATGTGGCCATATCAAAAAGCTTTGTGATCACTCTTTAGGATGAAGGTAACAGAGGAGACTTAATATTCTTTGCAAAGTCATCGACCTTTGGCTACTGTCAGTAGAACTATGCTCAGTCAAGTAACGCGCCTCCCTCAGTGTGAAGTATTTCTCTTTGTTCATTTAGGTATCTAGAAATCAAGAGGTGAGAAATGCTGGGGGACAAATCAATGTTGTTTTATGAAAAACTGGAAAGCAGATGAAGAACAATACAGCGACTAGAATACTGCAATTATTTTTATAACCAAACAGCACTGTTTGAAAATCCTAAACATTGGTACCATTTTACATCTTATTTGGATATAAATATTTTCTGATGAGCTTTTCCTATGTTAGAAAACGAGTAGAAAACAAATCTTTGATTCTGATTTTCAGGCCTTGTTGTTACTTGCTGATGCTTAAAGACAGACGGAGTTCCTTGGGCTGACTTGAGATTAGTACCTTGAATTCATCCGTTAGACCAATGTGCTTAAAATCGGCTAGAAGAGGTGGATTATCAAATAACACAAAGTGATTTAATCCCCTGATGCCCATTATTGTAAGAGCTCTGAATCTCAGTCCCCTTGGAACCAACCCGAATTCAGCCCCTGCTGCCTCGGAGTGCCGAATAATAAAAACCAAAACCGTGGTCAGACGTAATTAGTTTGAACACAGTGTTGTAATTTTCCTCATGCTAAGCTAACAAATGGACTCCTCTGATGACATACACAGAATGATTCAGTTTGATCCAAGAGAACACAGATCTCAAGACTGAACATTTTTGGGGTTATTTGTCAGGAAGTTGAAATATCAAAAAATTGTGCTCTTCTGGGAATGGGAAAAACGAGGAAATAAACTTTGGCTCCAAAGTGTTGGAAATGCAGTTTATTTTGTTGGGTTTTCCCCCATCCATTAAAAAAACAGTCCTTCAAGACTCCAGTTCTCCAGTTGATCCAGGATTGATTGAAAATGTGTTACTTCTTTAAAACAGGATTCAGATAGGAACAGACTTCAGCTGAGTAGCAGGCAAAACTGCCTAAGAGAAACACAGTTCTTCAAAGACTGCTGGGCATTTCTTAGCCCAAATCACCTCTGAACGAGTACCAAGCTCAGTGGCTCCTGGATCAAGCAAAGCCAAGTGCCCTGTCCCGGCCATCTTTGGGATGAGGCGGTGTCCACGGTGACTGGAGCTTGGGTTCTGCTGTATGACAAGGTGACTTGAGTCTAAGGATGTGGACTGGGGAAGGCCAAGCAATCGTTTGCTTTTTGGTGCTGTTTCTGCTTCTTTGTTTAGGTTAATTTGAGGGCAGGGGGATGAAAAAGGTGGGAGAGAAAAGTAACAGTGAGGTTAAAAAAAAAACCCTTCCTGCATGGGAAGGGTATCAAGGCTGGTCACTGGCTTATCATTTCCATCTTGGTTAGTTCAAAATTCTCTTATTTTACTCAACCAAATATTGTGAACATTACTCCACCTTGTTGGTCTGAGTTGGAAAAATCCAGCACACACAAGTCAGGGAATTAACATGCCATTAACGAATGTTGAGTAAACTGTCCTGGTGCTGCTGGTTGAACATCCATCAGTGCGGGCATCAGTTCAGACCCTGCAAGCTTCCTGTTCAATGTTTCCTGGACACTGGGCTGTTTCTCCGACATGCATATGCCAGGAAATGAGATGGACAAGTAGTAAACACACTTTTTCTCCCCATGAAAAATATCAGGCTCTGTGGGAGCCTCATTTAAAAAAAATCATGGAACAACAAGGTTGCTTCTAAAGAGATTATGAACTGGGGACTGGAATACTTATTTGAACATATTTTGATTCTGAAGTCTCCTTGTAAAAATATTCACAGAAATTGGAGGACATTTTTTTTTTACATACAACTCGATTTCCCTCATTTACAACATAAATCATTTAATGTAACATTTGCAACCTTAGAAAGGCAGACATATTTAATCCAAGTCAGTTTATAAATTCCAATTTCACGTGGATTAAAAACTGCGGATAAATTAAGTCACAATAATATCCTGTACATGCATTAAGGCTGGTGACTGCTAAAGTCTCTTGGGTGTCTACAAACAGGAAATCACACACAGGTTACTGGGTCTGAAGAGTGTCTACATCATTAAAAAAATCTTGCTCTTTTTTTGGTGATACAGATTTGAACAGTAACTCTGGAAAACTGTGAAAAATGTTATTTAAAAATATATATGTATATACTACTGCACAGTTTCAAAGATGTGATTCATAAATAATGTTGGCTGCACTGATTAATTTTATAACAATTACTTCACTTCCAAGGTGATGCGAACACGCAGTGACTTACACTCGATATTAGGCACTAGTAATATCCTTCAGGCGTACTACAGTTTATGTTAGCTGTATTGTACATATATATTTTTAAATGTATGCATTTATACAAACTGTATATTATGCATGGGATGTCAGAAATGTACACATCACTGTTATATAATACACACATCATTGTTTTATATACTAGGGTAAGTTTTAGTGCAGAAAGTCTCATTGCATTGTATTCCATGTGTTCAATCTAGTACACAATCTGCTAACTCTTCAGATTAGTTTTCCAGTATATTCCTCTTTAGATAGTGGGTCCGAGTTTCCATTTGTAATTTGAACGATTCTGGAAATACGTGTTTTCACCAAACCTCTCTTTGCAGGCCCAATTCAGCATGTAAGTCTGATCTGTGTATGGTAGTAACAAACCCCAAATTTTGATCAGGAATATATTTAGGTTGCCCTCTTTCAAAGATAATTCTAACATTGTGATAAAGGACAGCATCCATTCAGGTCATGGAAGGATAAGGTCAGTGGAACTTGTGTTGAACTTCTGAGGAAATAATATGTCTTCAAGTAGAAAAAGTGATAATAGACATTATATGTTTAAATGAGAGAATCTAGAGGGACATACATGAAACTTTGAGCAGTGGTTGTATGGACGATGGGACTTAATACTTTCTACTTGATACATTTCTGTATTGTTTCAATTTTTACAGTGAGCATGTATTAGCTTTGTAATGAGAAGACACAAGAAGGCTATTTCTACTTTGAACAAACCTGAATAAAAGGAACAAATTATAAATGACTTTCCCAAGCAGCAATCTGAAGATGGTTCCTTACTGAAATCACCTAGATCAACACAAACAAAAACTGCTGCTCCAGCATATTCTGTTGATGAAATGAAAGACTGCAAGAGGAGGTACATGCTCAGGTCATCCCCCAAATGGCCTGTTGCAAGTTTTGTTGGGAAACACGGGCCACCAAAGTGCTGACAGAATGTGCCTGCCATCATCAGCCAGAGGCCACCTTCACGTTTTAGGGGTTGTGTGGGTGAGCCCACTGTGTGAATACCACAGCAGAGCCTGTGACTTTCAAGATAAGCAAGACCAGGTAAGGGGGGACATGTGACAGACGGCGAGGGCCATCCTCTTATGTGAGAATATGAGCATTCTGTCAGAAGGCAGCAAGCTTATGTGGAACTAAGTCTCCATCCTTCAAAAAAAGTAATTCAAAGTTTCTAAAGTTAGAACTCCACCAACTACGAGAGAAAGGGATGTGAGAAGCACCTCAGCTGGATACATGGACAACAGGAATACTGTTAGTATTTCCAGATGCTTCAAGGCCAAAGCCAAGTGCAAACTTCACAAACCTTTCCATGGCTCACTTTAAATTCATTTCAAATCACCAAAGTTGTTTAAACATTTGTGCAGTTTTGAATCAGTGCTTAGAGCTAGGGAATTACAGCAATCTTATTTCCCACTTACAGATCAGATGACAAATAGTAACATTGCAACCAGACCAATAAGACCATCAATGAAAGCATCTATCAATACCTCTTATAAATGGTCTGTGCCGCCATCACCTTGAAAAATGGATCGCTTCACATACTGTATCACCTGTCTTTCTCAGACCATCCAGGTGCAATTTTATCAAGTGAGAGGCTTCAAGGGCATCATTTTTGTTTTTAAAGTGTGCAACGTATATCGGATTTTTCAGGAGATTTTTTTTTAACCAATATTTTTATACCCAAACATACTTAACAACAAGGCTAAATCTAGGGCATATAGACAAGAGACTATAAAAGAAATAAGTTTCAGACAAAAACTGTAAACAAGATGTCAAAAAACTAAAATGTAAACTTAATAAAAAAAAAAAAAGCAAGTGAAGAATCAAGGGGAGACGTAAACAAACCAGAGGCACAGGATGTAAGCATGATGCTCTGGTCGCGGCTCCCAAAGCGGGATGGCGATCGTGGCAGGAAGGGCTCCCCCTGCGCAGCAAGCTGCCTGCTAATCAAAGCCTGAAAACCTAGTCCCGGATCACAATGCACTGAAGGCCTGCAGATGCATATTCTGCATGAAGAGTCAGAGGATTAGACAGTACCAGGACAGCAAATAGTTCTCAGCCTGATAAGTAACAGACAGATACAGACTTCCAGGGAAGGGACATTCTAGCTGATGTCCTAATTTGGCCAAGAAAATTGTAAGAAAGAGAAGGATTGAAAAACAGGGGCTGACAAACGCCACGAGGCTCTACAGCCACCGCGTCACAGTGGCAGGAAGGAGAAGCCCACACGCTGGGTGAGCTGGCCATGGCCTGTGCAGAAGAATGCAACTCTGAGCTCCCGATCACAGCTGTTGCCGTATTGACGCTGGACAGCTTTTCATCAGATCTCAGAGCTGTTTTCACTCTCCGCTGGGGGCAGGGCAGAGAAGCCTGTGGGAGCCGATGCATTTGCTGTAACGCATTTAGCTGATAATAAAAACCGGAGGGAGGGAAGGGGATTAGACGAAAGGAAGGTGTGTGGTAACATGCAACTAGGAAACGTCCAGCACAAAAATAACTGACTTATTTTCATTACTCAATTACCCATTGATACACAGAATCAAAAAATAATTGGGGAATAGTATATTAATACTGAAAGTAATCAATAGTAGAAGAACTAGGTTCATCTTAACTGGCAGTCAAGCTTTTGGTGTGCTGTATTGCACCTGGTTAACTAACCCATGAGATTTTGGTTGAATGTTCTAAGAAGTCATGGTTTAGCTTTGAAATAGAAACTGTGTGTGTGTGTGTGTGTGTGTGTGTGTGTGCGCGCGTGCGCACGCACGTAAGTGTATTTTCTCTAATCAGAAACTTCTGATCTCTTTGTCTAGCCTGGTATTATAGAAATTAGACAAAGAAAGTGTGTTCTAAAGAGCTGTGTACCTTACATCCATACACAGGCAGTTTTTAGACACCCACACATACAAACACACATGCCCTGGGAAAAGACCACTGTTGAATGCTGAGACTATATTCACCGCAGTTGGATAAATGCTGTGGCTGGGAATTTCAGTAGCACAGTGTCCAGAAACGTTGAGCCATCCATGGAGACGAGAGCCCAGTCCAGCTCCAGGCAAGGTCTCTACGGCAGGTGGGCGCTGTTCCGCAGCCAGTGCAGGCCTTGCTGCGAGTACTGGACCAGGTGCTCCATGCTGCTGTGCAGGGTGACAGGCCCCATGAGCAGATCCAGGTCATTGAAGAACTCTAGGGAACAGAGACAGTTGTTAGAGTGCAATGCAAGTGAAGTGTGCTCCCTTGACAGACCTGAGGGGCTTACAAAAATATGCCATTCGTGGTCTCCATGTGAGTAAGCATTTGCTGTTCCATTAGGTGATATTACCATTCAGGTGAAGAGAATAAAACCCAAAGGTGGGGAATTCATCCTATATCCAAATAATCAACTCTATTGGCCATTTCTAATTCATGACCGAATAAAACCCAAAGGTGGGGAATTCATCCTATACCCAAATAATCAACTCTATTGGCCATTTCTAATTCAAACGAGTGACATTTATTTAGCCAAATAGTGAAGAAAGCATACTTCCTCAGATTGCATCGTCCTCGTGCAGAAGTGCCTCCCACCCTAGGCATAGGTTTTGGGCCTGTTATTCCTTCTACTGTCCCCGACTGGCATGTGCTGAACCCCTGGAGTGAGTCCAGGGGAGGAGACTGCAGGCTCCTTGTGGGAAATCAGAGGTGGGATCTGACACATCTCCACTGAGATTGCCTTCTAGTCCCTGGATATTCTCTGGGTCTGCCCTTTTATTAAACATTTATTATGTGCCACGTCTCATTATATCCAGTCTCAGTGCAGGAGACTGGAGGTAGGGGGGTCCACCAGGATGAATAACGTGGAAGGCTCTGCTCGCTTAGTGGCTAATACAGACAAATACATTCACGCGGCTGCTATGCTGTCATAACTGGATTGCTGAACAGCATTCTTTGGAAGTATGTGTCTGAAAGAGGTTTTTCAAAGGTGCTCATATATGTGCTGAATGAAGTTCTCTCCGAGGAGGCCAGGGAGGGGTTAGAGAAGACTCCAAGTTCCAGATGGCTGCGAGGAGAGGAATCCAGAAGCAGAAGGGGGAGGAGGAGCAGGCAGAGGCAAGCAGTGCCCACTTGCACTGGACACGTGTCATGGCGCCCTCTGGTGGCAGACAACCAGCAGGCAGCTGGCAGTGCCATCTGGAGCCTGGCCCACTCAGTGAATTTTTGTTTTGTTTTGTCCACCTCTGACATCTCCCCTCTCCAGCTCAGTCACTCAGCTACAATTTGCTTTTCAAAGCCCTGTTCCTTGTTGGCTCCTCTGGTGAGCCTCTCTGGGTGGTTTCAGTCCCTGGCATTGACCTCCTTGGCAGTGCCATGAGATATCCAGGGTGTGCTACCTCTGGGCTACATGTTATGTATGATCTGGTTCTATTATCCACTTCATGTACTCAGGTCCCATCTGCTTATCTGTGCCATAAATTCTTCATCTCACTGTGGACATCCTGGACTTGTCCTCTGACACTTATGTGATCATGGGAGCAGAATTGGCATTTAATAGCTTGAAAGTGACTCAGATTTGCACGGTCACCTGTTGCTCAAGGAAAAGCAGTAATTGGCATAATCTTTGGGGAGAAAAGTGAACAATATATATCAGGATATATAATATGTATCTTAAAGGAATCTTTGCCTGCCAATGACAACTTTTTTCTTTTATAACTTCCCTTATGAAAGTAACTGAAATATGGGCAGTGATTTATATAAGGATACGTATCATAACATTTGTAATAGCAGAAAAAATTGGAATTAAACTAAATGTCCAAGAACAGGGGGATGGCTGGAGAAATCATACCTTATGATCGCACAACCACTATTATGACAGTATTACAGAACCATCATAACGGGAGCTTTAGCTAGTTAGTAACACATGAGAAAATGCCTGATACGATGTTAAATTAAAAAAGGGTATGAAACAGTATATAAGCTATGATCTTTTTTGGTAAAACCATAACTATTTGGAGAAGACTAGAAGAAACCAGTGGAGTGTTGAAAGTAATTACTTTTTGGTGGTAAGATTACTGATGATTTTAAATGTTTTCCTCTATTGTTTTCTGTACTTTATAAATTTAGCCACAGTAAATATGCATTCCTTTTATAATCAGTAAAAATGAACAATATTTAAAGAGAAATAGAGCTTATTGCTACAAATAAAACCCTCTTCTCAGTTGTAAGCAGCTATCACGTAAGTGGCTAATAACATGCAAATTAATTATCACCAACTGTGTTCTAGGTAGTGAGCAGGTCTTAGGAATACTAAATTGAATAAAATGATATCCCTAACCTGAAGGTGCTCACTGCCTAGAGGGGAAAATGTGGATGTCTGTATCTCTGTGTCTATCGCTATCATTTGTCTTCATAGTGTCTCTATCTCTGTCATTCATCTTCCACGGTAAAGATATAGGCAGGTAAAGGCATGGAAGATGGAGAGAGGTCAGGACAAGTTTTACCCAGTAGCTGAAAGCTTCTGTTAGTCCTTCTTTGGTAAATGATGAAAACTTGCCCTATGGTGCCCAGGGGTCGGGCTGCTTCCCTGAGCTGGGGTCAAACCACGCACATGCTCCCGAGGCGCACACACCTCTGTTTTCCTTGGCCAGGTTGTCTGCCATCTCCCAGTAGTCGTAGCTGTGAAGGATGCTATTGGTGATGCTGACGTGATTGGCTGCCATCTGGTGGATGCGCTGGGGGATGCTGACGATGGTTGAAGGGGACAGGGTGTTGGCGCTGGAGAGGCTCCCTTGAGACCCCACGGAGCTAGTGGGGGAGGGGTTGGGAGACATGGGGGATGGGGTTCCAGTGCTCCTGGAGCGGGAAAGCATAGAGAAACAAGAGTGGTGAGGTCGGGCAATCCTTCAGGGCATATAAGCAGAGTAGCACACTGCCTAACACCAAGTGTCTCATTTATCTACTTTGCTTTGGAAAAAATGAACTTACTTTCCACTGGCACCCCATGGAGATGGGGCTTGGGCAGCTTTAGATGAATTCTGTAGGAAAATAAAAACATCACGAGTAAGTACCATCTGCTTAAGTGTAAACTGCCAACAGGAAGATGTTCTCAGGTGACCTGAGAGAAGTAATGGCAGACATTGCAGAGAAAAATGCAGATTCATAGAAATTGGATCTGGGAAGTTACAATTACTAGGCCCTCGGCTCCCTCTCTGGAAGCTAGCAAGGAGCAGCTGCATGGCCTGCTAGGCTCCACAGTGGCTAACATGAAGAGTGCACCCCACTGCCTGGGTTTCCATGCACCAAATTCTATGTACTAAATTAGATTGTAATTCTGAGGATCTGTTAAATCCTAAACCAGTATGCTTTTTAAAAATCTTAAATTAGCTTAACTTGTCTGAAAAGGAAAGGAAAATGAGCAGGTCCCCCCATGCCCATCTGCCACACTCTAGCACACCTTATATTTAATGTAGGGCATACTGGCAGAAACTGTTGAGATACATTTCCATGCTTGGAAATATGTGAGACATCAATGCTATTGTTTCAACTTGCGACGCTTGAAAGTATTCTCTTAGAGGAAGTTGCTCTTGAATATTTCTAAAAGAACGGATTAAAATGCATTTCCTTAACAGATATATTCAAAAGTTCTCATTTATCTGAATACTGAGATTTAGGATGGTATGTTGCATGAGCCAGATGTTTGCATCAGGCACGTCAAACAAGGCACAAGCAAGGAAAGCTGGTAAATGTACAGATAGATTTTTCTCTCTGAGAGCCCAATGCATGCTTTCTTGGACATTAACTGCATGGGACTGTTAAGGAAAAATGGTCTTTATGATGTTGACACAGATTTTCCCTGCAGAGGTAAGAACCTCACAGCCTCAGCCTGAGTCCCAGAGACAAAGTGCTTCTTTTGGTTCAAAAGAACTTTATGAAGTTTTGGAATCCAACTTTTTGAAAACTATTTATCTTGACCTCAGGTGCCCGAAGTAAAGGGGAAGGATGACTGTCAGTTTCTGTCATCATGGCATGTGATGGTCACTGGGCCAAGACAGTTATCTTCTTGGCTTAGCATCTGGACACTTGACGTGTGTGACCAGGAAGGAGGCGGCATGCTGGGTGTGGTCCACGGGAACCCCAGCACAGCCTGATCCTCGGAGATAACCTCTAAGTGGAGGCTGGGGATTAAAGGATCTAACCTGATGGTGTGTAGCTGACAAGGTTGGTGCAGGGAGAGGCGGTGTACTGTCTTGTTCATATAGAAAATGAGATCTCAAAGGAATGATTACTTCAGGCCCAGTTACTACAGTACATCAGAGAAGGTTCTCTTTTTTTTTCTTCTCCCAGTGAAGATGATTTCATTCTGAGACAGGTAAGTTAGCATAGTTTTCAGTGCTACCCCTGATATTTACACATTGCTATAGTCCTAGTGCCTCTGATTTCTAACAAGCCATTTCTTATCATTTAAGATAACACCTTTATTAAAAATTAAATTAGCTACTGGAGATAGCTAAGAGGAAAAAGCTCTAAATGAATGCAAGGAATTTATGTTAGCGATAAAAATGAATTTCCTAGAACACTGGAATGGGTAACTGGATTTTTTTCTCTTGGGACCATAAAAATACTTGGACACAAGGCAGGGGGATAAATGAGATGGGCTTTCAAGGTCATCCTCTGAGCCCTGAACATCACAGGTATGCCATAAAGGCGGTTTATAAAATGAGTGTTTGTATCAGAGGGCTCCTGTATTATCTCCAAAACAATGGACTCTACCAGGCTCCTTGAAAATGTCCTTGACAAGGAAAAAAACTGGATACAAGGAACAATGTCGTCCAACAGCCAGACAGTACCTTGAAATAGTCGATAAGTGCTTTTGAATACTTTACAGCGTGGTCCCTTTTGAGTCGAAACATCCGCCAGTACAGGAGAGCCAGGCACCGGTAACTGCAGCAGAAAAAGAGACAAGGGCTGTGGCGGCACGAGCGTGGTCTTTGCGAACAAGACTGAAAATATATCTGTTGTTCTAAGGCACTAAGTATTTACAACATGGTGATTTATATATGTAATATTTCTATACATACATGTCTATAAGTGTCTGGCCTTCCTTTTGTTCAATACGTATACATAGTCCAAAATTTCAAGGAGCTGCTCCGTAAGCACATTTACCACTAGGTCATTTTGTATTAGCTTCATCGCTTCTTTGTTGGGGCCACGGGGCTGGCATGTTCTTCTCTCACCGCTAGAGGGCAGCCTCTCCCCACGAGAGGCGGGAGGCCGCCCAGCACAGAGCTTTCACTGCTGCCTGAGTGAGCTTCAGGGCAGAGCCGCCTACCTCACTCCCAATTTCCTCTGACTCCCGGTCTTCCCGCCCCATCAGATTGCTGGAAGAATAGCCCTTCCACCTGTTTTCATTCCCTTCACTTTCAAACTGCTTTACCAGACTATCAGCAGTTCAAATAAAGTAAAATAAATGAATGTGTTTTATAAACAAAAACCATGCTGAGAGTAGTTATTATTTTATATATTTATTATCTACACATTAGCATTCTTTTATATACTATTGATTAGTCATCGTTAATTTATTAATCCTAACATGAAATGTAAGTAAGGTTTGGCAAGAGCATAGAAAGCGTTTTCTGAGATACCCTCTTGTGCTTGGTGTTTTTTCCTCATGATCATTTACTAACTCAGGTCTGTGGCTGACACGCTAGAATAGCAACCTACCAGGTACAATTTAAGATGATGGGAGGACACAAAACTACCCGAGACCGTTTCTTCTGTGCATATTGCTGTTATTTATTAGACTTGATCCTCTACCTTGCAGATCAGATTATAGAGTGGAGTATGAACCTTCAGAGAGCAAAACAATTTGGATCCCTGTCACAGGAGGAATCAGTAGAGAGGTGTCCTGTCATTTGGGGGAGTGAGATGAGGTGTCCCAAGGATATGTAATGGGAAAAATTACTATTATTATAATCACATAATCATTATCATTGTAATCATAGATACAGGAAAAAAATCCATTACATGTTGGTTATCCTTTTAAAAGAAGTGCATAGTATTACAGGGTAATGACCTGCTTCTCAGTTTAATGTGTTGAGAACTTTAATGCATCATCTTGATTCAGTCATACTAATGCCACATGTAAAGGGACAGATGAATTATTCTGATTGCATCTAACGGGTTAAACATAAGAGAAATTACATTTGACACAACTGATATTCAATTGTTAGGTTCAAATTTTAAAATTTGACCTATCCGATTTTAAAACACACACACAGAAAAATTATCCCTGTGTAATGGACCTGTCAATTTCCAGTCACTGTAAATTCACCTGATGCCTGGTACCGCAGCAGCAGATGGTGTGGGCTCTCCGTCGCCACCACCGGACTGCGTTTGGGTTTGTATGTTAGAAGGCACCAGGCAAGGTGCCTTAGCCCCTGATGGTACACACGGCTGGGCAGGCTGTGTGAAGCTGATGGGCACACTCACCATAATGCAGCCAGCTGCTTGTCCTCTGGTGTGGCATTGGGGCCTGAGTGGGTTTTTAGTCTCATAGCATACCTAAGAAAAACAAAGAAAAGAGAGAAAAACCAAGGAAAAAGTTTAAAAAAGGCTTTCTTACAACAGAACATCTTCTATGGTGGAAGTTCTGTCTGCTCAATACTTAGTTTTTCATAGAACTTGCCGATAATGCTCTCTTAAAAGCTAGCTGATGCTGCCCCATTGTCCCTAAGTGTTATATTACTAGGATGACTGAAACAAAACTATGTTTATGACCGTCCAGCTACTTTCTGCTCTTTAACAATACAAGTTCAAATGCTATGGATTGTTCAGAGGGGTATTAGGTCAAGCATTACCCAAGAATATGGTGATACAACTATTTCCACAAATTTTGGTTTATGGCCAAGTGGCTGGCAAGATGGAAGTAAAGTTCAATCATTCCAGACCAACCTCCAGAAAAATTTTCATTCTTTGTACTTTGATGAATGCTTGGATTTACCCCTCTTTCATTGTTATGGAACACTTACTCTGATAGCAGTGTAAGTGTCCTGGGTGTATAACTAATGGCTTTTATGATCTTTTATGGGCTTCACTTAATGTCACTTATTTCTCTGAATCAGGGGGCCTACCTATGACAATTCCTTCCTTCCTCCCAATTACATGCCAAGTTACTTGTAGACTCTGAGAAAGCTGAGGTAGTATGTGGGATGGACAGGGAGTCTTGGGTTCAAATCTCAGTTCAGTCACTTAGTAGTTTAAGGGCTTAGGCAATTAATGCCTTTAAGCCTCCTCATCTTTACCTATAAAATAAGAGTAATACTGCTCATCACATAGCATCATTGTAAGGACTAATAGAGATTATATTTTCAAAGCTCTTGGTGTAATAAGCTGGCTTACTGTAAATTGCTCAAGAAATGATACTTTAATTATACAATCTCTACAACTTGCATATTTGTAGTGTTTCAAGTATATCCACATAGTTTTATAGTGGTTGCTCTGGGTATTACAATTTACATATGTGACTTACCACGGTTGACTGCTATCAATATTTTCTACTTTTGAGTGAAGTGTGGACATTTTACTTCAATTTAGGTCCCTTTACTTTGCCCATTTTATTTTATTCATTTATATTCAGTTATCATTGATACACAATCTTATGTTCAGATTTCACATGAACATTGTAGTTACTACATTCCCCCTATTATTAAGTCCCTACCATATACCCATTAAAGTCACTGTCCATTAGCATAGCAAACTTCTCTGCACTTTACTTCCCCGTGCCTCCCCTTTATTATGTGTGCTAATCATAATACCCCTTAATTCCCTTACTCCTTCCTTCCCACCCAACCTCCACAGTCCCTTTCCCTTTGGTAACTGTTAGTCCATTCTTGGGTTCTGTGAGTCTGCTGCTGTTTTGTTCCTTGAGTTTTCTTCTTTGCTCTTATACTCCACCGATGAATGAAATCATTTGGTACTTGTTTCTCTCCACTTGGCTTATTTCACTGAGCATAATACCCTCTAGCTCCATCCATGTTGTTGCAAATGGTAGGATTTGTTTACTTCTTATGGTTGAATAATATTCCATTGTGTATATATACAATGTCTTCTTTTTCCATTCACCTACTGACAGACACTTAGGTTGCTTCCATTTCTTGGATATTGTAAATAGTGCTGTGATAAACATAGGGGTGCATATGTCTTTTTGAGACTGGAAAACTGCATTATTAGGGTAAATTCCTAGGAGTGGAATTCCTGGGTCAAATGGTATTTCTATTTTGAGTTTTTGAGGAACCTCCATACTGCTTTTCACAATGGTTGAACTAATTTACATTCCCACCAGCAATGTAGGAGGGTTCCCCTTTCTCCACATCCTTGCCAAAATTTGTTGTTGTTTGTCTTTTGAATGGTGGCCATCCTCACTGGTGTGAGGTGATATCTCATTGTGGTTTTAATTTGCATTTCTCTGATGATTAGTGATGTGGAGCATCTTTTCACATGCCTGTTGGCCATGTGAATTTCTTCTTTGGAGAGGTGTCTGTTCAGATCCTCTGCCCATTTTTTAATTGGATTATTTGCTTTTTATTTGTTGAGGTGCATGGGCTCTTTGTATATTTTGGATGCAACCCCTTATCGGATATGTCATTTATGAGTATATTCTCCCATACTGTAGGATGCCTTTTCTACTGATGGTGTCCTTTGCTTTACAGAAGCTTTTTAGTTTGATAAAGTTCCACCTGTTCATTTTTGCTTTTGTTTCCCTTGCCCATGGAGATACGTTCATGAAGAAGTTGTTCATGTTTATATTCAAGAGAGTTTTGCCTGTGTTTTCTTCTAAGAGTTTTATGGTTTCATGACTTACATTCAGGTCTTTGATCCAGTTCAAGTTTACTTTTGTGCATGGAGTTAGACAGTAATCCAGTTTCATTCTCTTACATGTAGCTGTCCAGTTTTGCCAACACCAGCTGTTGAAGAGGCTGTCATTTCCCCATTGTATGTCCATGGCTCCCTTATCATATATTAATTGGCCATATATGTGTGGGTTTATATCTGGGCTCTCTATTTTGTTCCACTGGTCTATGGGTCTGCTCTTGTGCCAGTACCAAATTGTCTTGATTACTGTGGCTTTGTCGTAGTGCTTCAAGTTGTGGAGTGTAATCCCCCCACCCCCACTTTACTCTTCCTTCTCAGAATTGCTTTGGCTATTTGGGGTCTTTTGTGGTTCCATATGAGTTTTAGAACTATTTGTTCCAGTTTGTTGAAGAATGCTGTTGGTATTTTGATAGGGATTGTATTGAATCTGTAGATTGCTTTAGGCAGGATGACCATTTTAACAATATTAATTCTTCCTACCCAAGAGCATGGGATGAATTTCCATTTATTAGTGTCCTCTTTAATTTCTCTTAAGAGTGTCTGTAGTTTTCAGGGTATAGGTCTTTCACTTCCTTGGTTAGGGTTTTTCTTAGGTATTTTATTCTTTTTGATGCAATTGTGAATGGAATTGTTTTCCTGATTTCTCTTTCTCCTAGTTCATAGTGTTTAGGAATGCAACAGATTTCTGTTTATTAATTTTGTATCCTGCAACTTTGCTGAATTCAGGTATTAGTTCTAGTAGTTTTGGAGTGGATTCTTTAGGGTTTTTTAGGAATGGTGTCATGTTGTCTGCAAACAGTGACAGTTTAACTTTTTCGTAACCAATCTGGATGCCTTTTATTTGTTTGTGTTGTCTGACTGCTGTGGCTAGGACCTCCAGTACTATGTTGAATAAAAGTGGTGAGAATGGACATTCTTGTCCTATTCCAATCTTAGAGGAAAAGCTTTCAGCTTCACACTGTTAAGTATGATGTTGGCTGTGGGTTTGTTGCATATGGCCTATATTATGTTGAGATACTTGCTCTCTATACCCATTTTGGTGAAAGTTTTTATCATGAATGGATGTTGAATTTTATCAAATGCTTTTTCAGCATCTGTGGAGATCATCATGTGATTTTTGTCCTTTTTATTGATGTAGAGGATGATGTTGATGGATTTTCGAATGTTGTACCATCCTTGCATCCCTGAGATGAATCCCACTTGATCACGGTGTATGATCCTCTTGATGTATTTTTGAATTCAGTTTGCTAAAATTTTGTTGACTATTTTTGCATCTGTGTTCATCAGGGATATTGGTCTGTCATTTTTTTTTTGTGGTGTCTTTGCCTGGTTTTGGTATTAGAGTGATGCTGGCTTCAGAGAATGAGTTTGGAAGTATTCCCTCCTCTTCTACTTTTTGGAGAACTTTAAGGAGGATGGGTATTAGGTCTTTTCTAAATGTCTGATAAAATTCTGCAGTAAAGCTGTCAGGTCTGCAGATTTTGTTCTTGGGTAGTTTTTTGATTACAAACTCCATTTCATTGGTGGTAATTGGTCTGTTCAAATTTTCTTTCTTCCTTGGTCAGTCTTGGAAAGTTGAATTTTTCTAGAAAGTTGTCCATTTCTTCTAGATTATCCAATTTGTTAGCATATAATTTTTCATAGTGTTCTCTAATAATTCTTTGTATTTCTGTGGTGTCTGTAGTGTTTTGTCTTTTCTCATTTCTGATTCTGTTTATGTGTGCAGATTCTTTTTTTTTTTTGATAAGTGTGGCTAGGGGTTTATCTATTTTGTTTATTTTCTCAAAGAACCAGCTCTTGGGTTTCATTAATTCTATTGTTTTAGTCTTCTCTGATCTTTATTATGTCCCTCCCTCTACTGAGTTTGGGCCTTATTTGTTCTTTTTCCACTTTCAATAATTGTGAATTTAGACTGTTCATTTGGGATTGTTCTTCCTTCTTTAAATAGGCCTGAATTGCTATATACTTTCCTCTTAGAACTGCCTTCACTGCATCCCACAGAAGTTGGGGTGTTGAGCTGTTGTTTTAATTTGTCTCCATATATTGCTTGATCTCTGTTTTAATTTGGTCATTGATCCATTTATTATTTAGGAGCACGTTGTTAAGCCTACATGTGTTTGTGATCCTTTTGTTTTCTTTGTACAACTTATTTCTAGTTTCATACCTTTGTGATTTGAGAAGTTAGTTGGTACAATTTCAATCTTTTTGAATTTACTGAGGCTCTTTTTGTGGCCTAGTATGTGATCTATTCTGGAAAATGTTCCATGTACACTTGAGAAGAATGTGTATCCTGCTGCTTTTGGGTGGTGTGTTCTATAAATGTCTGTTAGGTAAATTTGTTCTAGTGTGTTGTTCAGTGCCTCTGTCTCCTTACTTATTTTCTGTCTGGTTGATCTGTCCTTTGAAGTGCCTGGTGTGTTGAAGTCTCCTAAAATGAATGCATTGCATTCTATTTCCTCCTTTAATTCTGTTAATATTTGTTGCACATATTTGGATACTTCCATGTTGTGTGCATAGATATTATAATGGTTATATCTTCTTGGTGAACTGACCCCTTTATCAGTATATAATATCCTTCTTTGTCTCTTGTTACTTTCTTTGTTTTGAAGTCTATTTTCTCTGTACAAGTACTACAACTCCTGCTTTTTTCTCCCTATTGTTTGCATGAAATATCTTTCTCCATTCCTTCA